CAGGGCGGCCGACGAGGAGGACCGACGGGCTGTTTCGCTTCGAGAGACCTCCTGGGCTGGTGGGGTTCGGCACCCGCCGTGGGCGCAGCAGCCGGGGCGCCCCTCTCCCGGCTCCTTCGTGCCTTTCGGTGTGATCCGGGCGTTCGGGCCAGATCCAGATTTGCCACCTTCCGAAATCACAACGCCGGCTCCCCGAGAGGGCCAGAGGCAGGCTCTTTACTCTTGGCAACCTCTAGCGAACCCAGAGGTGGAGGCCCTGATCCCTCCTCTCCCAAGCGGAGAGCTGTTCCTCCTTGTCTGTGGTGTTTCTTGAAACGCTGGCCACGGTCATGTGAATGTTACCTAGAGAGGCTGCGCCCTGGTTTAGCGAGAAGAGAGTCGCGGGCTTGCCTAGCCAGTCGCAGGTCCCCTCGGTTTCTCCGGAAGCGATTTTGGGACTGCTTTCCGAGGATGATTTAGGGGCCTTCGGGACTCGTTCCAGCCCACGACGCTGCCTGCAAAACTCAGAGGTTGGCGGGCGGGTGGGAGCGAAAGAATGGCATCGGGATCCACCCTGTTTGTTCTTCAGTCAATCATTTCTGGCCCTCCTCCCCTTGTTTTATTGGAGATACTCTTCTAAAAATGCTGCGATTGTTGGGTTCTTCTTTAGATCTTTGAATGAGAGTCCTGGAGGGAAGTATTAGTTCCCATTTGGATCATTTTGTTGTTAAAGAATTAGAGGTTACAAGAAGATGGATGTTTCCCGTGTTTTCTTTCTGTCAGTCAAATGGATCCGGTCCCTGCACATTTGGGTTATCTGACTTTTTGGGAATTTTCTTATTGCTGTTTATCTCAGTTTGCAGGATTTGCTCTCTCTCTCTCTCTCTCTTTGTAAAAGTGTCATATGTGGAAGGCTCTCAGGGCACTAAGCCTCTCTTGAGTTAACATATCTCAGTGCTGTTTATGAAAGTGGTAATAACTCTGTTGCACATTTATTCAGATGTGATGAGGTAAAGGGAGGAAAGAAGCAACTGTTGAGTAACCATGTAAGGTATGTTTGCTTAAATCAAGAGCTGCATACCTTGTAAACATTTTGTGTGGGTGAACAACTTATTTGCTTGCAAAGTGCTGTGTTGTACATTCACACTGTGTCATTACTTACTAGCTTTTAAACATGTTTAAAAAAGAAGTATTTGCAGTTCTGCACTGGAAGGGACTAGATTCTAGAAGATGATCATATTCCTAGGGATCCAATAGTTCAGATGTCTAGTGTGTAATTTCCTTTTGGCCTTTGTAATTATCTTTTTTAAAAAGAAATTCATGCTAACTTATTGCCAGCACTAACGTGTTTTTATGACTGTAAGGAATGTTACCAGATGTTATGAGATTTGTCAATGAATACAAAGTCCTGCTTGGGATCCGAAAGATGTAACTGAGCTTTTAAGTATGGATGGACTGAGTTTTAAGGAGATGCTGTACTAGCTTGATCAGTTGCAATAAAGCAAGTGGCAGTTTCTAATTCATACTTGGAGGCCTGAGGTCTGATGGAATCTTATGTCGTAATAAACCTGTTGGTCCTTAAGGTGGCATTACTCCCTTTGTTTTTAATTTGTTCTTACAGAATTATTTATGAGAATTTAAAATGACTGTTTCTGCCAGTTCTGTGGGGAGCACTTACCTTTCTAATGGGGAGTAATTCTGTTTAATCTGAGTGTTTTTATTATTTTTCCCCAAACAAGGTATGCTTCCCATATGCTGCTTGTGAGTAGGAATTGCTAGCATAAGGGAAGTGAAAAGCTATGCTTTGCCCCAGGCCTCAAAACTTTGTTTTTACACAACTAGCAGATAGTTCTATATCTAAAAGATTTCCAGGAACTTCTGCAGAAATCTAGTACAGTGGATTACAGATGGCCTTCCTGAGTCTCATTACACTGTCTTGGCAACAGTATCACCAAAATGTGCAGAGTAATTTTAAGTGGGAGGGATGACTGCTTAGACATTAGTCACTACATCATATTTAAATCTTACCAGTATAAATTTCAGCTAATTATCCCATGGAGGGCTCTTTGTGGTTCTGTGGCAAATATATCTTCAGAGATTATCTGAATCTACTGAGCTTTGAAATACAGGTTTTTAAACCCCAGTTTTAGTGTGAATTAAAGTGAAGACCAGCTGCTAAAGATCAAACATCTTATCTTAAATTTTGGAAGCCAAATAAGACTGCCTAACAATATTGTCTTTGATGTAAGAAAATATTACCTGTTGAAATTTGCATGTGTAAAAGGAATGCAGTCAGTACAGTTGGTTTAAAAGAAAACTAGCAGTGGTACTGTAGGAATGAGAGACTGCCAGATGAAAACATTCTTGAACCAGATGGGTTTTTTTTTCATATAATATGCAAAGCATTCCACACTTAATTTGCTGCATCTTCCACATTTGGGAGTACAGTATATAAATCTGGCTTCATTTATTCCTCATTTTAATGCAGTTCTACATTTTCATTCATAGATTTAACAGTGACAGTTACAATGGTTTGTCACTTCTTTACTATCAGAGATTTTAAAGAATTAGCCAGAGATAGGCCTGGGAGAAAAGAAAGTAGGTTTTCTCGTTATCTGTATATACTAACTGGTGGCTTTTGTGAAAAACTACTGTAAAATAAACAACAATTAGGCTTGTTGGATAGCTGTTAGCAAATGATTAATGCCATCCAACAGATACACATTTCTTCCTGTCCTCAGAAAACTGATACCAAAGGGAGAAGGGTTAAATCAACTCTGTGCCAAAGCCTTACGATAAACCATTTGTGTTCATTGTGATTCCATCATTGCAACAAACGCCCCATAAGTCTCCTTTTATAGCCTTCTCTTTGAGCCTTGCATATTGAGTAAATGTACTCAAGTCTTATCATAATACCATCAGCTTCAGTTTTAAGAGAATTAGTCAGAAACCCTCACATTATGCTGTTCCTGGTACCATTATATATAGTTCAAAGTCACTTCCCTCTATGATGAGGTCTGTTCCTGTATTTTTGAACATTATCCTTTATCCTGCCTAAATGTTCTTAAATGCTGTTCACTATACACTATTCAACAAGGGGTTGAAATGGTTGTAAAACATCTCTTCAGTCTGAAAAGTTGCCTTAGTGCTAGGTGTGTGAGGAACTGAAGGAAATAGCCAGGGGCCACAGAAGGGAAAAACATTGAGAAACCATGTTAAGACTGGGCCAACAATATTAATTGTTGGTTCTGCCAGATGCTAAAAGGTGGGCCACAAGTGAAGTGAAAAGCTATGCATTTCACTTCACTCTGAAGTGAAATGGCCACCCAGAGACTTTTGGGTAGAGTGGGTGGCATATAAGTTAAATAAATAAATAAATGGCTGATTTCCCCTGCCCTGAAAAAAATTGTTGCAGGCTAATGAAAACAACTTGGGGCTGTGACTCTGTGCTGTGGTTGTTGGTCCCTTCAGCCCCGCCCTGTGGCTTGTGTGTGGACCTGACATGCATGGCCCTGAAAAAGGTTGTGAAGGTGGGCAACCCCAGAGTGTCTCTTGAGAGTCACAAAAATATGGAACACAATCTGATATCAGTGTTTGTGCCCTAACACGCATTGTTTTCAGACAAAGAATATTGATCCTCAGCTGTGTTGAGTATAGATACAAATATCTATACAACATAACAGGAGGATTTATTAACCACGAGGGTCTTTAGGATGAGATGCTAGTTTATAATTTTGTCATTTGTGCTTGAAACTGTTTTATAGGTTTTTTTTAAAATAACTTGTTAGAATTACATTTATGATAATGTGCACAATGGGGACTGTTTAAACAAAAAATAGAGCAAGGACTGAGCAAAGCTAGTAACATTTACATATAGTTTTTCTGTTTAGTCTAAATGTAGACTACTTGGAGTTTGCACTTTATCTTAAGAGAAACTCCCCAGAAGACACTACCTGTATCCAACTGTACATAATGGCAGAGCAATTAATAGTCTCATCTTTAACTCACAATGCCATTAGTTACTTTGAGTGCTTTTAGGCTGAAATCTTGTATTTTAAAGAACCCACTGACGGAAGTGTGAGAGACTCATTTTTACATATACAGTGAAAAACTTGGACAATAAGTGGGAAAGGGAAAAAAAGGAGAAAGATGATTAACATGATGACAGTCCTGTAAGACGTGTTAGGTAGAGATGCTGTTGATGTACCCAAGGCCACTCCGTATGTTTACCTTCTGTATGAGATTTTGAGCATGGATTTACTCAAGCCATACTCGGTACTAATTACTAAAAAAAGAGAGATCTCTGTTGTTTTTAATTTTAATCCCAACTAAATAATAACTAGCTGGCTGGATAGCTTAGTGGTTTAGGCTGAGAATTAGATTCTCCACTGTGCCTCTTGTGAGTATTTAGGCTGAGACTTAGATTCTCCACTGTGCCTCTTGTGAGTAGAGCCAGCCTGTGTGGCCTTGGATGTGCTCCACAGTACCAGGGCATCCCCAGGAGAAAGGAATAGCAAGCCACTTCTGAGGTCTACCAAATAAAATCCTGAAAAGTCAGAATTGACTTGACGTCACATGCTTATTACTATTATTAAATAATGAACTGGATACTTTAAGACTTAGATTCTCCACTGTGCCTCTTGTGAGTAGAGCCAGCCTGTGTGGCCTTGGATGTGCTCCACAGTACCAGGGCATCCCCAGGAGAAAGGAATAGCAAGCCACTTCTGAGGTCTACCAAATAAAATCCTGAAAAGTCAGAATTGACTTGACGTCACATGCTTATTACTATTATTAAATAATGAACTGGATACTTTAGGATAATCTAGCCCTAATATAATACTAGTTGGGACACCACATCATTACTGTTTGTCAAAAATATGCCATATCTTTTCACTGTGTTGGATATGCACAATTATAGTTTTTTAAGAAATGTACATTAAAATATGTTTCCTACTACTTCTTAGAAGAATAAGTATATATATAGCCGCCTAGAATGGTCCGGTGGGCCAGATAGGCGGGGTATAAAT